CGTGATTATGTCAGACGAGGCTATGCAACGCGTGATTATGTCAGACGAGGCTATGCAACGCGTGATTATGTCAGACGTTGGCGACAAGCTTTGCGGTAGTAAACAGGAAGTGAAACTTGCTAACTAGCAGAGGCTAATCATCTCGGGACAATGAAGCGGTTTTTTCATGAATGCCTTGCTATTGGGCAAGTTGTAATTATTCTATCTATTCTGTATCTATTATCTATCTATTATCTATGTATCTATTATCTTATCTATTAAGATAACATCCGGGCCAAGGCAGGAAAACAAAAACAGCTGAACGTCACGTGAGGTAAATATGCGCCACGTCAGAATATATTCGGCAAACATGTTTCCATCTCCTGTTTTGCGCATTAACTACTTTGCGAATCATCCAAAAACCACTTCAAGCGAGCATAAAAATGTTTTAGCGAATTGAGGAATTTTTTTTAATTTTGCAGTTTCTATCTGACTTTTTTTTCGCGTTTTTAATGCGACACTTCTAAATGCGCATCAAAAAGCATTGATGGAAACACGGTTCTTGCTGGAGAATATCTGAATGTAAGAGTAGCTGAAACAGCTATTGTTAGGCGATGGCCCTCTTTTGCATGTGACTAACCTGTTTGTCCATTGGAGGCAGTGCTTATAAGGCTGAGTTCACCTGAAACTCAGACTGAAGAAGTCTCTTGGAGGAGAGACGAAACATTTCACTAAAGAAGAACCCATCCAGAGGACCTACTTATTTTTTCTACCTGGATTACAGAGATGCATCAGGAGCATCTGGCATACACTTTATCATTCAATCATTTCTGTAGGTAACTTGTTACTTGTTCTGCTGGCTTCAGGTCACTGCTGGAAAAGAAGTGGGTTYTTAAAAGATGGTGATTTAACTAAACACCAGAGTAATTTGGTTTCTTATGGATCAACATGTTCACCACAGAGTTGTGTTGGTACTTGGAAATAAGAGCGATGTCTTTGTTTCCACCTTGGGTGGTGTAATACTTGCACCACATCCTGTCATCATAATCAAACCTATTGACTCAAACAGAAGAATTTATAATCACTGCCCTCTTTTCAGGCTCTTTTCAGAAGAAGGTGTGAAATGTTTTGACAGTTTCTCCTGAAACACATCATGTTCTMACAGTTCAGTCTGAAGAAAAATATCACAACTAAACAAGAAGAGTCCTGCTGATTACAGCTTTCAAAGCCTTCAGTTTCTTTTAAAGGGTTCGTTCACAAAATAGATGTGTTATTCTTCTTAGGCCGGGATACTCTGTGCCTGCAGAATTTTAATTTGTTTCTGTCAGAGCTGAAAATGTACACATATTACAACGTAATGGTTTCCCTTTTGTGAGCCACTTTAAATATAAAATGCTGCCAAAGTTTCTAAAGACTAAACGGCTGTTTCTCATCTCCCAACACATAAAGCCTATGTGGGACACTTACCCCTTCCCGCCTGGAGAAGAGGCTGAGACAGATGCTGAGATTGGAGGTGGTCTCACTGGACAGCTCGCAGATTTCCTCCATTTTCTGCACTACAGCTAATGGAAATCCTGCTGGGGAGAAAAACACAGAAAAAAGACTGAGTGGAATAAAAAAAAGCAGCAATTTCACAGAAAGATTGCAAACATAYAGATATGAAATCTCAGATGCCAACAAACAGATGGCTCAGCCTTAATTAGAACTACTTCATTCATTTCTAACAGCATTTTATTTTGTTTTCAGCTGGGCATAACATTTAAACCACTCTAACATACTATTATTATTATTATTATTAGTTGTAAACATGAAAAATTTAAATCAATTA